ATATAGACTCCCTGAAGAAGACGCGAATATGCGTCGAAACGCGTAGGAGAAGAAGTAAACACTTGTTTTATTCAATTTAACCGGCCAAAAAGCTCCAAACCCAATAGCATTGAATTTTTAACCTTGGCCCACGGAAAATAATTACAAATTATTTTCTTTTATCGCTTCGTAAAATTTAGATTTTCTGAAAATGCTCGCGTCATTCATACGACCATTTGTACCGACATCTATGTATAAAAAGCGGTAATGTGCATCAACGGTGGCGAATAATACAATGCTGTAAGTGCCTTTATAGTTATAGAAATCCGATGCTCCATGTGGTGGATACTCTACTACGACATGCTTCCCGTCGAGAGCACCGCAACAGAAGGGGAACTGCCAGTAGTCATTAAAATCTTTTTGGACTTTTAACCATAGTTCGGTTGTGTTTGGAACCTGAAACGAAAATAATACAATCTTTTTTTGTTGCAGGTGAATAGCAGGGAAAGCGAGGCATCTTATTTCGATGAAGTACCATCGGGTTCGCAAGCTAAAAGGCTTAAAAAGGCAACACAGAAACAACAAGAAGTGGAACCGATTCTCCAAGCTTTTAATAAGCTGGAAAATATTTCGAAGAACAATGCGGCGGACGAGGTCGATGTTTTTGGAAGCCATATGGCGAATCAACTGCGAAGTTTGCCATTGGAAGAGGCGGTTTCATCGAAGGCTGACATGAATAACTATTTGGCGGAAAGACGAATAAAAGTATTGAGAATGGGGGCTCTTCCAACCTCACAGCCAGAGAGTCAAACAACAGAGACGTTTGTAGCACCAAAATTCCGAATGGTATTGTGTGCAACTCATGTTTATTTATTTAAGCTGATGCCAGATAAAACTTTTTAGCTTTGCGTGACATTTATAACTTTGCCAGCAAAGCGCCAGACGCAAAAGGTATGCCACAATGAACGCCAAGAAATCAATTTTGCACTGCTTTTTTACTCGCCAAAATTGCTGTGGATTTTAGATATTTTGCTTTAAAATTATCAGCAATGTAATTGAGTTTTATGTTTCAGCATGAATACTCGAATTTGGACGAAACAAAATAAATATTAAACCGGCTGATTGTCAAAGCGCGCAAAAAGATGGCAGTTGGCCATCTTTTCGCTTCGCGCTGTAGCTTCAATGATCTATGTGGCATGCTTTGTGCATTTTCATACAATTCATCTTAGCTGTCAAAGCGAATCTGTCACGTAAAGCGAAGCAAACGTTTTATGTGGCATCAGCTTTATTCTTAATAATTTTAATTTTTAATTAAAACTATAGTTCGACCTCACAGTATACAGTAAACCAGCCGTTGACAATATGCTTATTTGAAAATTAATACATGAAATATTGTGAATGTATAGGATTTATTTGTCATTAACCCATAGGCAGCGACTGATGCAAAAGTAACCACAAATGTTTGTTGATATATTTGACATGTAAATTTGAACAGCAAAATTCGTAAAAAATACTAATAAAACAAAAATATTTTTAATTACTTCGTGGGAAGTGGGCGTGGTTATTGGCAGATTTCGCCAAAGTTTAACACTAACGTAACTTATACAAAAGGCAACTTCGACACCGACTTTAGTTAAAAAACGCGCTTGCTTATCTGCATAAACCGTCTTTACTTGCATTAACCATGTATTATCCTCTTTCAAATGTGAATAAGCGGCTGAACAAATACATACAAATTTCGCGCATTTGAAAATTAGAGAGTTCTACCTTAAGCTACCTTAAGGAACCATTTTAAAAAGTCAGCCCACCATTACTCACTCAAAGTTGTGTTCGGAACACGGTTTGACTTATGCAGGAACTGCATCCGGTTATAATCGCTTACGCTTCACGCTTGATTTGCTTAGAATTTTGTTTTTCTCGTTATTATACTGTGGTTCGACCTATAACAGAAACCCATAAGTAAAAGTTTCAAAGTTTACATAAAGTTCACAAAAATTAATTAACTTTTAAAATTTCATGCAATTTTTTGAAATTTCATTAATTTTTGTGAACTTTATTTAAGCTTTGAAACTTTTACTTATGAGGTTTCTGTTATAGGTCGAACTATAGTTTTAATTAAAAATGAAAATTCATATCGTTGAATAATAATATCGTCACTAGACACGAATAAAGGCGCGAGCTCAAAAGTTGACGGCGAAAAAAGACGCATAAAAAAACTTCAGCGTCAAAGACTCTTAACATACTTCGCAGAAGTTTTTCATAAGCATCTTTTTTCGCAAAATTTTTTTACGCGCTTTTTTCGCCGTCAAAACACTAGCGCGCCTTTATTCATGTGTAGTGACGATATATAGTTTCTTATGTTCCTCTTTATAAAACATTAAAAACCAATGAACTATGTTTTGATAGAGGGTGAATTCCAAAACGTCAAAATACAATGCATCAGTTTTTTTTTATTTCTAAAACTCAGTATATTTTAATGGAAAATGTACGCAACCACGGTTAGATGCTAGTTTTCAACAAGCTTGCGCAAGTTAAACTTTCTTCTAGTGTGGTTTAGAAATAAAAGAGACTGATGCTTTGTATTTTGACACTTTGGAATGCACCCAGATTGTCATTACATGTGTAAGGTATTTTCCTTCATGTACGTACATACATATGTATAGATATGAATCATGGTACAATTAATTAACTAATTGTATCATGTACTACCCAAATACTTCTTAATATTTGCACTTGAAACTCTTATATACATATATATATATACTAACTAGCTTATACCCGCGGATTTCACCCCGCGCTTTTATACAAATATGCAAAATAATTTAATGATGTTAGATTTTATTTCTGTGCCCATTTCGTTATAGCTCGTTATTTTTTAAGCGAGTTATGGTATTTAGGCCGTTTAAAACTATGAAATTATAAAATCCCGTCTGCGCGCTAGGCATACGAAAGATATCAATCCCTTTAAGTTTACCTTAACAACTTCCCTGTCCTCATACAATGCATTTTGTTAATGCCCCACGTCCACAGGTTTTTTGCTCTAATATGCTGAAGAACGTCACACACAATTGTACACAAAAATGAGTCACATGTGACTCATGAACTTATTTCAACACGCTCTCGTGAGTCACATATGACTCATTGGACAGGGAAGTTGTTAAAATGGTTCCATGTATACGACGCGTGAGCGTGTAACCTTCTTGGAGGTGCCACGGCGGGTTCTAATATTTCCAACTCAAATTTAGTAACCTGGCCTTGATAAAATACCACTTCTCATTACTGTAGCAAATGCCTCAAGAGAGCTTTAGATTATAAGGCCGAACCCGGCTCTCCCTTTTCCATTTAATGAAATTTATTCTGTCAGTACGGCACTTATAAAATAAATCTCCATAACAAATTTAAAATACTTCGAGAGATTTTCTATCCTTCCAGAGATATGTATTAAGAAGTTTTTAGTATGTATGGGAGGCGACATGCCTCCCTTTTTAATAACTCACATTTTTTCCATGAGCAATTGATACATTTTGTATACACAACTCCATACCAAGTTCCAGTATTCTTCCACAAACACTTCCAGGGATATGTGGCAAGAAAAAGTAAATTTATACGCCCGTTTTTCTTATAACCCTAATCTTCTTCCATGAATATAGAATTGATTTTTCATACCCCAGTACCAAGTCCCAGTACTCTACCATGAACACCTCTAGAGATAAGCAGTATAAAACAGTAAATTTGTACGGCAGGAACCATGTCCCCTTTTCGATTAACGCAAGTTCTTCTCCATGAGTATGGAATTAATTTTGTATACACATCTCGGTGCTAAGTTCCAGTCCTCTGCCATAAACACCTCCAGAGATATGCAGCATAGAAAAATCAATTTGCATGGGAGTTGCCACACCACCTTTTCCAATAACTCTCATTTTTCTCCATGAGTATGGTATAAGTTTGACATACATATATACATATGTATTTCCATACCAAGCTTGAGTGCTTTACCCCAAACATTTGAAGAGATATGCAATATGAAACTTTCAGTCAGTATGGGAGGAGTTACGCCCCTTTTCCAAAAACGTCCATTTTTCTCCGTAAATATGAACATGATTTCACACAGTGTTGGCAAACTGTTAATCTGGTTAACGATTAAAAATTAACGATTAAAATGTTAATCGCGTTTGACGATTAAAGTTAATTAGTCGTAATCAACTGTACGATTAATGATAAAATTTTTTTAATCGTTAATCGCTGGCTGCGATTACGTTTAATTAATTTAAAACATTAATCGTTAATCCAATTAAAAATAAAATCTGATTGATTTGTCTAGTTTGTCCGAGTTTGAAACCAAACACCAGTTATAGTAATTATTTTGTGTTTTCGCTTATAAAAAGCACATAATATAAAAAAATTATAATTATTGTTAGTTAAACGAGCTACGAATGCCGTTTAACACAACGCAAGAATGCACCTTTCACAAAATTGAATTCCTTCAAATTATAATTCGGCACAACGCAAAAATTGCAGTATTTATGAAATTGTTTAAATTGAAAACTTACATATTTATATTTATCTATTATTACCTTGAATTATCTATTGTAAAGGTTTTATAGTAGTTTGTATTGAATTCGAGTGGTTGGCAACGCGCGTTGATAATGCAGCGCGCGCAGCTGACATATAGGTTGACAAATGTCAACAAAGTAAAAAATTACATATACTTAGAATTTTTCCAACCACTTTTTCGTGCGGTCGCCCTTTTTGCTCAATTTTAAGTTTTCCTTTTACATACATATAGTTGAATTGAATAAAGAGAGTTGTAAATTTAATATTTCAACGTGCGGGTTTGATTTCGAGAAAAACCGTTAGTCGGTCGTCAAACATTTATTCGGGCGCGTAAATAAAGCTCGCCTTTGAAACCAACTTGTATTGGCACACCGAAGCAGCCAAACGTTATCCTCCGTGCCACAGTCAGTCACCCCTTTAAGCCCAGCTTCCCAGACCCAATCTCCCTTGGCCCGTCTCGCACCCCCGCCCTCTAACAGTGCCTGAGGATGGAAAGAAATTTGCTCAGAAAAGCCGATCTAATATCCCTTTATGACAATGTATTAAACGAATATCTCACCCTCAACCATATGGAAGAAACGACTTCCGATGAGATATCTTCTCAAGGCAAATATTGGTCGTTCTACCTCCCACACCACGCGGTTATAAAACCCAAAAAAAGAACGACCAAAGTCCGAGTCGTCTTCAATTCTTCGAAGAAATCGGGGTCCTTTACGGCGGACCAACCCGACTTGATGTTATTGATCCTCAAGTGGCATATGTATCGATTTGTCTTTAACGGCGATGTCGAAAAAATGTATCGACAGATACTGCTACACAAGGACGACCAAGACTATCAAAGAATCAAGATTATAAGTTGAAAACTGTGACGTTTGGTTTGAATTGCGCACCCTACCTCGCTATACGCACCCTTCACCAGCTCGCAGATGACGTGCAAACCACGCACCCCTTAGCGGTGCCCATATTAAACAATGAAACGTATGTTGATGATATACTTTCCGGCGGTCATGATCTCCCTTCAGCCGAAGAATCCCTCTCTCAAGTCATCCAAGCGCTCAATTCGGCACGCTTCTCACTTAAAAAGATTACAGCCAACCACCCCGAAATTTTGAAAAACATCAACAAAGACGACCTGCTTGACACAAACTTCCTAGAATTTGAAAGAGCAAGCACCACTAAAACGCTCGGGATTCAATGGAACGGCTCTAACCGATACGTTTTCGTAGACCGTTGATTCCATCCCAGCGTCTTCCGCCAGTACAAAATGACAAATCCTCTCGGCAGTCGCCAAA